TTCCATGATAATGTCTTTTAAATGCGTAATATTGCACATAACATTTTTCAGCTTTTTTTCTCCTCAAGCTATAGACAGTCAGACTAATGAAACGCTGGAGTTCAAGAATTAAGCCAATGATCCAACCGTACCGAGGATATCAAATTAAAAGAAAACGACACGATTTTTGTCTAAACTAAATTCAAACGTGATATTCCAATGTCAGGCAATAAAAACATGCCAAAACATATTGAAGCACGGTTTTCGAAAGCTATTTACTAGGTATAAAATCTCGTGTTCATAAAATGTACCGCCGATTATGTCATATCAATGTTCCTGGTGATATTTATATCTTTCTATATATTTATAATTATTTTATTCAAGTATGTAATTAGTAATATTACGTATATTGTTAAGCGCGCACTGTTACATTAAAGTATATCATACATGTACAGTAATGTAGATGCAGGGAGAAACAATTTTCTAGTCAATACACCAATCTCCATTTTTATATCTGTTGTATGCAGATACAGGAGAGGTAATTTTCGATGTATACGTCGTGTATATATGTAATGATTGCATGTAAAATTTGAATATAATCTTTCTTTGAGTCTATATTAATGTTCAATATATTTCTTGTCTCCAGCGTTTCAGTCATTGCACTATTGAAACGCAAATCAACAGAAATCTGTCTATTTATACCCCTCATTATTTTATTGATATTATGTCAATTTCTTCTATTGATATTATGTCAATTAGTTCTATAACAATAACACTGTCGTTAAGAATTTAACTTCAAGGTGATAGGCTATACGTGATTCAAATAATTTCACGAATAACAATCAATTTGCTTTTATTATTATTATTTGTGCATAATGTGAGTATAATCTTAAACTATCATAAACACTACGAGATGTAAGATTTCTGCGATGCTTTCTGTTACATTATGCTGCTAATTCTGTTCTTTTTGATACTGAATTCGGTCTATACTTCTTATATTATAAATTATACACAGATTTATAATGTAGCACATGTAATCGTGTATAATTATATAATTATATGATACGCATAATTATATAATTATATAATTATTAACAGATATTCTTAACATCTTCGTATATGTATATATATACATATATGTATATATATATATAAATTTTTTTCAAAAACTTTCAAGAATTGCAATCTAGATTAAAAAATTGCTTTAAAAATATAAGTAAAATTCATCATAATTAAAACATAAAATATATAATCAGGAGAGAAAAAGAGAAAGAATGTGTAAAAATAAAAGATTTAAAATAAAATAAAAAAAATATTTTTTAAATCTCAAATAGCAAGATAAACAGAGATCATAAATTCCACATATTGACGATACAGAAAAAAATCAATGAATTATTAATCACAAATATATTGCTCTTAAATATTATATTGTAATAATAAATTGTGAAATAATATTTTGTACGTAAAAGATACGAGTCTCATTATATACACAGAGGTCGTACAATCACGTTATGGAGAGACTTGGTATTCATTTGGAAGTATTAATAGAAACTATACAGTAATCACAAGACTATTATGCTCACTGATATTTTCTTGACATTTGATTTTTTTTTTAACTTTAGACTTTAAATCTAAACGAATGTACTAACAAAATCGCACATATGCAACATCTTTGTTCTTTTTTTGTGAACAATGAATCAGAACAGTAATTCCAAAAATCTAAAAGTATTTAATTTCATCTCTATATACCAACAGGCATATATTCATTTGTGAAACATTGTAAAGTATTATATTATACCGGCTTATGCTACGTATCGCGGAATAACTATTATTTATCTATTCAGTATCTTTTAAGATATTTTGTATTTTTTCTTTTTTTTTGTTGGTTGCGAGATACCTCAACAACCTTAAATTTTGTGTGTACGCTATTTAAATTAATCTGGTGGTAGAAAGCTGAATAGTCGGAACTGTTCTCTAATGCGTGGCCTTACGTCACCTCCCTATAATATAAAAATAATTTACAAAATTACTAAATAATTGTATTCTAATAGTAAATATATCAGAGAATATATATGATAAAAGCTTACCCAGTTTACCAGATTTTCTAAAAATGGTAATAATTTCATTAGTTCGTTATCTGAACGATCGGCAAACCAACTTTCTATAGGTATACCATTTTCTAGCTGTAACATAAAATACATGATTTTCATAAGTTATTAATATTTTATATTAGTAAGAGAGATCGTATCAGATGTATGTATATATAAATGACAAGCTATATTATATTAAGTCACCTGATATCCAAATGCTTGTGGGCTGTTATCAATAATGACGGTTTTAGATAGATCCCTGCCTAAGATGGACAAATCCTTTATGTAATTTCCATTAACGCATACACAGTGTTCCCTGAACAGACGATACTTGATCAGCTTTCGTGTTGGATCCAGTAGATTCATCAGTTTGTTGGCATACACTCGCTTGCTCGCCGTGAATAAAATCACCTCGTAGAGCGACGAGACATGTTCGAGAAATTCGCGGAAATACGGTCGCGTTCTAACGAATACCGTGTACGTTACGTCTTGAAAGACTACTGGGAAGCGAAATGCGGCATCAGATAGTTCTTGCAGACTGCAGTGAACCAATGTTTCATCCTGCAAAAGGATAAATGTAGCTGTTAATCACTGCTTTTACATCGTAAATATATATATATTAGGTGTTGGAATTAATTCGTAGCGTTTTACAAGGGAAGTACTTTCATTAATGTATTTTTTAATGCTCATGTGAAATAAATAATATTCTTTCATTAAAAAACGCTACGAATTAATTCCAACACCTAATATATATATATATATATACATGGAGATGGAAATGTCTCCATTAATTATGAATTTTATCATGTAGAAAATAAAAATAACATAGGATGACAATATGATCTGAACCTGTGTTTAAATATTTAGACAATGTCTAATAAATGTATGTGTTAAGATTTTTATCTGCGTGTATATGTGTACTTGTTCCGAGTGTGTTGAGCGAGCATACCAAATCCAGGACCAGACTGAATTCCGGACTACTCCGTGTTTTAAGTGGTAGAGCCGGACATCTTGCTCTCATCGCCGGCGTAAGGGGCGGCAAGTGTTTGATGAAGACATAAGGATCGAATGGCTCCCAATCTTCCTGAACTTGAGTAACCATGTTCTCTACATCGCAAGATTCTACTATCTCCTCGCTACCCACCTCCATGTATTCAACCTCGTGATAACGACTGCCGACGTCCTCGGAATCATATTTGTCACTAAGATTGCCATTCGTATCAGATGGATGATGAGGATTTATATTGTACATACTTGCTGGTATACTGTATTTTGTACTGGGATATCCAGCAGTTGTTTCATATTTTGTTGGGTCTGTTTCAATAGCATATTGATCTTTTGGGAGATCACTGCGGTTTTCATTGTTATCGATTAGCGAGTATTTTCCTCCGTTCGGGAAGTATTTGTCGGACGAGTTGTACGCGGTACGGACGTTATATATCGACGTTGAGTGCATCAAACTGTAATATTCTGCAGAAGTTTCGGCATGCGCGTATAAGGAGGAGTAGTGTATCGATGATGGTAGTGTAGTATCTATAAGAAAAAAAAGGAAGGAAAAGATAAAAAACGTAAAAATATAAATTAGAATTAATTTGATTACAACACACAAGCGTATGTAAGTATACGAGTACCGTTGTTCTTGCTTCCCTCATCATCAAGCAAACATGCGAGATCTGACTGTGATCCTAGAGATACTGGAGGCATTAGACACGTCAGCGAAGATACACTTGGTATGGAAGATTTCAAGTCATGTACCGGCGGTATCATCAAACCTCGCGAGTCTGTATTCGTTACTGACGAGAAAAGAGGCAGAGTAGATCCGCCATTCCAATTTTCTTTGGATTCCTCCGAAACTTTAGATGGCGACGCGTTTTTAGCAGACTAGAAAACGCACGTATTACATTGTAATAATTTATGCCCAATTTCTTCACTTTCAGATAAGTTGTGGATAACTTTATCCAGGAGATATCTCCATTGTAATATGCAAGATATCTCCTGGATAAAGTTATCTAAAGGTGAAGAAATTGGGCATAAGTGATACAGCTTCATCACAGAGCAACTTACAATAACTGTGTCAATTGGTGGAGCACGATGCAAAGGGGTCGATGTAACCATCGAACGTTTTATGCATTTTCTTCTGCGAGGTCCTCTTTCCCGTCTAATAGGCGTGGATTTGGCAAAGTGTAAAACATTTTCTTTACAAGCCTACGAAAGTAACAATATTTTAATAGAATAAAAAAAAATGCAAAAATAGCCTGTTGAGAATACAAAAGCACACGATATTGTAGTGTATATGACATGAACAAGAATTTCTTTTAAATCTTTTATCTTTGGTAGATATTTAACTTACTTCTTTTAAAAAACTGGATGATCTACGTCGCCACTGACTCAATCGGCTGCATTTATTTGATGTTATTACTCGACTACTGTTATTAATATGTTGTACTTTTCTTGCAACTTGCGCTCGTTGGCCGGTTGTCTTTGACGCCGTTACACCGCTTAAACTTAAACGGCCACGCAATCTCCTGCTAATCCGTTCACTTCTCAGCCACATTTCAACAAAGTTGTTAAGTGTCCTGAAATGGTACAATACTAATCTTGAAGAATTCTTACAGGAAAAAAATACTATAAACGTAAATAAAACGTATATCTAACAAAACACATATTAAAATTACTTTGCTTCTAAAAATCATATTTTTGGGGGAAATATTATTTTTTTCGGATATATTAAAAATTGCAATAAAAATTGAAGATTTTAACATACTCATTTTTAAAAAGAAAATAATTTTATTTCTCTTTTAAAAATTTATTAAAATCTTCAATTTTTCTCACAATTTTCCGAAATAATTAAGGTGGATGGATATATTCATATCAGAAATCGTTATTTATTTGGACCTGAGCGTTTTCGGATCTGTCAAATGTCATGGATGCCGACAGTTTTTGGCAGCTAGAAGCAAAACGGAGTAATCACAAGCTGAGAGGAGATTTCAAAGAGCCGAGATCGGTGAGATCTCACGAGACGTCAGCGCGCGGGACGTTTCGCGCCGGCTAAGATCGCGCGGGAAAGAAGTTCGATCGTTTCATAAAAAGGGGCGTTCCGGAAGCGCGTCTGTGTGCGTGAGGGCACGCACATACACATTCAAGTCGCCTCTTACGGTGCCCACGCTCGACGTTCCCGCTGCGTATGCCGCGTACATCCGTGTGCAGACGCGCGCAAATATACACATTTACACACATACGCAGTACAGAGAGCCGTATATCGATTTACATGCGGCCCGCCGTCTGTACGTCGCGTCGCGTCGCGTCGCGTCGCGGCGGTTTCGCCGGGAGACATTACATGCCGGTCGACAAATTCTTAAAAGAATTCTAGGATCTGACGGAGGATCGCTTATTATTATTCTATTCGTAAAAGATGTCGTTGTTTTTCAAAATATACGACATGACGTTACGTTACATTACGTTACGTTGTATCGCATCGTAACGGCGCGGCGACGGTGATGAAGAACGGTAGGAGGGGTAACGGGTTACGGGGCGCGGAGATGACAACGAACCACAGTGAGCGAAGGAATCGTGGGACAGGTGAAAATTCGCGCGAAAATCGGCGGGTCGGCCGGCCGGACATGAGGGAAGAACGAAAAGCGATTGCTTACCATACTCCGCGGCGAGTCGGCGGCGGCCGGCGCGCTCGCACACCGGCACGGAACGGACGTAACGCGGCCGAGGCTCACACACGCGTCTCATTCAAAATCTCCCGACGCCGTCCGTCGCGTGCGCTTATCATCCCTCCGAAACTACACAACAAACATGGCCGACGGCGTCACCGTCGACAAGCACTCGCGGCGTCAAGCGCGGCGCCGCGGCTTCGGCACCGCGATCCGCGGCACCCGCGCGCATTTATTCCCGCCGTACGACGGGACGGATATGGCGAGCAGCGCACGAACCTCCCACCCAGGTGACAGTTTCGATGATGTCGACAGGTGTCGGATTGCTGTTTCGACACCCGACGTACATACATCCGGTCACCGCCGTTCGCGCCCGCGCCGTCTGCCGTTTCCTGCACGACTTCCGCTCTCTTTCTCACTCAACACAAGATGGCTCCATTCTACCAACATTGGGTGCATTCAGAATGACAACCGCTCACTGAGCGTTCAGTGAGCTCTTTTATCTGATTGGTCTATATTTTAGGATCTAATGGAATATGCCAATCAAATGAAAGAGCTCATTGAGCGCTCAGTGAGCGATTGTCATTCTGAATGCACCCATTGAATATATAATGTCACTATGGCTGATATTCATAGTCGGATCTTATATTTAAGATCGTCTTAGGTACGGTCTTAAGAAGTTACAAATCAATCAGGAGGTCGATCATGTATCTTTAAATGAGATGAAAATTACAAAAGTGAGCGAATTTACTAGAGTATTCATAATTTAATTGATCAATAGTAGTATTAATAACCTTTGCTCACTTTTGTAATTTTCATCTTTCAAAATCCACATTCGATCCCCTGAAGGCCGCATTAGCGACTTAAGACATTAGTGACTTGAGATGATCTTAAAATAAGATCGATGAATACTAGCCATAGTCTGTTCTAATTTCGAGAGCATCTTAAATAATGTCTTAAGATATTAATGCAGCCCTCTGATTGTTCATAACTTCTTAAGATTGTATTTAAGATGATCTCTGAAGTCCATTCTACATTAGATGTAAGCAGATCACAAGTTTGTTGCGACAGCCAATATGAAATGTTGATTTCAAAATACAAGCTTCAGAATGGGCATTAATCGTGTTTAATAACATCCGTAGCTATGAAACTGATCAATTATAATTGTTGCATTCCTCCAAGGAACATTCCTACCTATGGCCAATTTCATAACTACGGACGTTATTAAACCTGATTAAGGACCAGTTTCACCAGTTAACTTAATCGGCCATTGACTGACCAATCACGTTTCCTGTTTAGTAGAATCGACCAATTTGATCGGTTAACAGTTAATCATAATTAAGCTTGATATCGGCATTGGTGAAACCGACCCTAAGCGTGCCGTGTAACAGAAGTTTATAAATATCATTCGTCAATTTTGATTACGTGATCCTTTTTATCACTGAAACAGCCGGTTTAATGGCCGCAGCACAGACTTTTGCATAATGCATAAGCGAATTAACTAATCAGAATCTTTCCTTCCATTTTTCATAGAAAAGAAGAATTTCAATTACTTGATTCCCTTATGCGTTATGCGTTATGCAAAAATCTGTGCTGCGTCCTTAAGGACCATTCCACACGAACTTACATAACCATGTGCGTAAAGAAAATTATCTAATCACATTTCTGTCATAAAGATAAACATAAAATATAATTGGATGATTTTCTTTATGCATATGTTTATGCGACTTCAGAGTTCTTTATTTTATGGAAAGGAAAGAAACGAAGGATTTTGACATTGTACATTTTCTTATGCATTACATGTTATGCGTTATGCAAGAGTCTACTCCGCTTTACAATTGAATGGGAGAGGGGGATATTCTTCCCCCACTCCACTCCTTCCAACACCTGCCAACGACTTCTCCCTCTCCAGCACGCTATCAGTTGTATAGCGATACATCTGTTTCCCGCTTCTGTGTTCCCGCCAAAGGCTGATGACATCTAATGACTGCTCGTCACGTCAAAATTGATTGAAATAACGGCAACGAATAGATAGAGCAGCATTCAAAGTGCATAAGCAAAAGTGGTTTAATATTTTCCATCGTTCTTTCATTTTTGTCTTCGATACGTGTTCTCATGTTTCAGCCTGGTGTTGTATTCTTAACCTCTAGTCTTAACCTCTAATCTTCATCCAGAATCCGATCTTCATTCCGATCATCATTCTACGATTCTGATTATTTCTCTTATCTAACAACGAAAACTTCATTCCGTTAATATGTCTATTAAATTAAAAACTTTAGATGGGAAGAAGATATCACTGAAAGTTACGAGATGTACCACCGTGGAAGAGTTAAAGGTATCGTTTATCACCTTATTTACTATATATTGTAAGATTATAATATAACATTAAGCACAACAATAAATATCGTTCATGTCAGAGCTATTGTACCTAGACTGTTATATTAAAAATTATCTGTAATAGACAACTTCTTCTACATTATGAATTATAATAAACATATTAATTCCTTTTTTGCTCAGTAAGTACTCAACGATTTTTTCTACTGAATGCAGCCATTATTGTTTCAGATTTGTTGAAAAATATTTGAAATATTTTCACAGATGATTTCAGCAGGTCTTCATTAGGTCTTTTATTTATCCTTAAAGAAAAAAATCCAATGGTGTGAAGTCAGGACCTAATAAAATTATGACAACTGATACCTCCAATATCATCTGCAAAATGCCAAATATTTTTCAACAAATCTGAAACAATAATGGCTGCGTTCAGTAGAAAAAATTGAGTACTCACTGAGCAAAAAAGGGATTAATATGTTTATTATAATTCATAATGTAGAAGAAGTTGTCTATTATAGATAATTTTTAATATAATAGAGCGGTTTTCTCTGCTGAAAGCAACTAATTTATTATTTCCTGCTAAAAAGTTAAAGTTAATGGAGAAATTTTTGAGCATTTCTTATAAAGCATTAAATAGAATAATGAACATTAATTAAAGCTGTAATCACGCTATAGGTTGTCGGTTGCTGGTTCCATTTTAGCCAATTATGATGCAAGTGCAAATTGGTTGAGACATGATTAGTGAAAATAGAACCGGCAACCCATAGCGTGATTACAGCTTTAAATAATATTTACTATGTATTATTCATGTTTTTTTACTACAATACCTTATAACTCTGAAATCATTCAGAATCAGACACACAGGCTGCTTTGTGTCTAATCTTGTAATTCTGTTGAAGTGTTATAAATTATAATTTCAATTTGAACGCCTTTCGAAATATTTATATATTCTCTGAAATATAAGATTTGATTATAAATACTATTTAACAATATATATTTATATGAATGTTTTTCGTTATTCAGTGTGAGGTTGAAAAACAGCTGAATGTTAAAAAGGATTTGCAACGATTATTCTTTTCTGGAAAACAATTAGAAAGTGGCTATCATCTTGCTAATTACAATATTAAATTTAATGACACCATATTGCTTATGGTAAAGACAGTAGTAAATGATGTTGAGAACAAAGAAAATACAAAAGAGGAAAGAAAGAAGCACTAGAAACAAATTTAGAAAAAGCTGAGAGTTTATATTATAAAATTGGTGATGCGGTTGATTGTATGTATGATAAGACTGGTGCCTGGTATGAAGCTATTATAGAAAATATTTATAAAAAGGAAGCTCAAATGTTTTATAAAATATCATGGGAGTTTGATAACACACTGTGTCCTGACGATATACCCGAAATATATATACGACCGCGTGCACAATGTTCTATATTATTTGATGAATTGTCCATTGGTCAAAAAGTCATGATTAATTATAACTTGGATAATGCCGAGAAAATTGGATTGTGGTATGATTTCACTATAACTGATATAATAACGAAAAGAAAATTACGAGAGTTGTTTGGACAATTGCATATCAACAGGTATGTCTTTGTTCTGCTATATAAAGCAAAATAAAATGTAAAGTTTAAAATGTACATTACACAAAAAAATTTTGATTTGTATTAATTTTTTCTTTGAACACAGCGATACTGTTCTTTGCATTCGAAAGAGAGTCAAAGAAGAGATATATGCTATAGAAGCACCCAAATTATTAACAGAGAGAACTGCAGAAGACGAACGATTAATGATAAGTAACGGCAAACGCAGACCTACAGTTCCTAATTGTGATGAGTGCGAGGACAATCCTGATGAAGAATGTCGAAAGTGTGGCTGTAAAATCTGTGCAGGCAAAGAAGAAGAGGATACACTTTTGATTTGCGATGAGTGCGATTATATGTTTCATATGAAATGCCTGAACCCACCACTTCTAAAACTGCCAGAAGAAACTGATTGGTATTGCCCTGAATGCAAAATCGATGAAAACGAAATTGTCAAGGCATATATACTTTTATTGATAATTTATCACATTTTTTATTATCAGTGCCGTTACTATTCTATTTATTACAGGCAGGAGACAAATTGAAGAAGACAAAAAAGAAATTTATCTGCTCTGAAAAGGAGCGAAAGTGGGGTGGTGGAATGGCTTGTGTTGGAAGACAAAAAGTCTGCGGCCTTGTTTCTTCTGATTATAGTGGAGAAATTCCGGGTGTGGATGTTGGTACTACTTGGATGTTTAGAATACAGGTAAAGGAAATTAATCCTACGTAGTGTCTTAATCTTGATAAATCTGTCTTTCAAATGAATATGAAAAAAAGAGATCTTTTTAGGTTTCAGAAGCGGGAGTGCATAGACCGCCCGTAGCTGGCATCCATGGACGAGAAAGTGATTGTGCATATTCTATTGTTTTGTCGGGTGGATATGCGGAGGACTACGACAACGGTGATGAATTTTTATATAGCGGCTCGGGTGGTAGAGATTTGTCAGGTATCCTATACCAAATTAAAAATAATTCCTCTAATCAAGTTAGTTCTTCTAATCAAGTTCTTCTAATTAATATGCCGTTTTCGAATATTTTCTTTTCAAATAAAAAAATTTGCGATGGATTGCAACCAATTCATGAGGTATCATTTATTTTATATTTTTTATTTTCACAACCGTTTCTTTAAAATTTAGATTTTTTTAATAATTAATATAACTTTTTATTTTATGTTATTCACAATACATTTTTTTTAAATTAATTTCATTAGATCTCTCTATTATTTTTTAGACTAAACTTTATAGTTGGCTTCATTGTTGGTCATTTTTGTATTACAAAATCTTTGTAATACACTACGCTTTCTAATCTACTAGGCTTTTGACTATGCTGTTGACTCTACTAGGGGATATCCGTTGACAACTACAAAGTGATTTAATAATATATTTAGAATTTATTTTTTATTTTATTTTATTTTATTTTTGTCAAATAGTAAAAAATACAAAAAAGTGTGCCTTGACCACGGTCATCTGGCTAAATGATACGTCTGTTTCGAATTTATTTCACATTCATAGTCATGAATTTATATGATACTGTTATGTTTTTATAATTTTTTGTTCTAGTAATTATGATGATTAGTTAATTCCGTTTGAATTTTAAATTGCGTTATATTGTTTTAACATTGAGAATAACCCGATTGGAGTCGAAACATATGTTTTAATAACTTTCTGTTTGTTTTTTAATAATATAGCATCAAAATCTTGCTTGGCTCATAGCCCTATTCTTATTATTTTAAAAAGAATTGTTGCTTATCATAATCCAATCATAAAATGTGTCTATATATATATATTCAATGTACGTATACAGGCAAGCATATTTGTATTTATATTTTTTATGGATATGCAGGTAACAAAAGAACCAATTCACAAAGTAAAAACCAGATACTACAAAGAATGAATTTGGCATTAGCTAAGAATTGTAATGCTTCCTTAAATGAAAAGATTGGTGCGTCGGCTGGGAATAATTGGAGACATGGGAAACCAGTTCGAGTTGTACGCAATTATAAATTAGGAAAATTTAGTAAATATGCACCGGAGGAAGGTAACAGGTACATCGAACGCATTATTTTTACTCATAGATTTGTAGTATATCACTCTTTAACGATCCTTCTATAACAATTTTTGATTCTCTCACAGATATGATGGTTTATATAAAGTAGTGAAATATTATCCTGACACAAGTAACGGTTTTCTCATATGGAAGTATGTATTAAGAAGAGACGATCCCACTCCTGCACCGTGGACCAAAGAAGGAAAAAAGAGAATAAAATTTCTTGGTCTAAAGATGTTGTATCCTGATGGATATCTGAATCAAGAAAATAATACGAAGAAAAAAATCTCGGCTAAGAAACGACCCATCAATGACAGTGACGAAGAAGGAAGTATGCCTATTAAAAAATCCAAAAAGTCTAAGTTAGTTTTTGATTTGGAGGATAAATTGAAAAATTTAATAGAAAATGATAAAGTAAATGCTAAATTATGGGATGAGTGTAAAGCAACGTTGATTAATGGGAAACCTGCTTTCTTGGATTGTGTCTCAGAGAGGTAATATGCTTTATATAAAGTATTAAATATTTTTTTAAGTTAAGACTCTCAGTAATCAATCTGATACTTGATACAATAAAATTTTATATTTTGCAGATTTAAATGTGCTTGCTGTCTTGGGATACTTTACAATCCTGTAACGACACCTTGTAAACATAACATTTGCTTAAAATGCTTAAAACGGAGTTTTGCTTCTGAGATTTATTTCTGTCCTGTATGTCGATACTCTCTAGGTAATACTTATGATATGAAGGTCAATGAAATATTATCATCTGCATTATTATTAATTTATCCTGGTTACCAGGGTGAACGATAATATCGTCTTCATTAAATTATATAATTATATAAATTATATAATTTGATATTGACTTGCTCATTTTATATTATTTGTTTGGATCACAGAGTTAATTTTCTTTCATCTTATTTTAAATCAAATTTGATGTTATCATTTATTTTAATTCTAAATATCGAAGTATCTCATATATATATATTTAGATCTTGAATTGGTTTGTAATAATTTTGGAGTCTACATACTTTAAATATTTATGCTCTGAAATTATTCTCAATTTATCTGGAAATATGATAGTGTCTCGGCGTTAAGCATGGCGTGAGATACTGACGTGCCTCCTTTATGTGAGCCGGTCTTATATTCTTTATTTAAACAAAATGAATAATCTTAATTCCCTGATATATATAAAAAATATATATTATAATAAATTCGGCTATGGGAATTAGTGCTGTACTAAGTGCGCGATAAATTTCAAATAAAATTGTGTCTTACATATTTAATTATTAATTTGTATAAATTAATAATTAAATATATAATAAGATTGAAAACAATTGGAAACTGTTTATGTTAAATAACATTACTTTAAATACGAAGCACTACTACGGTCTGAGTGTTGAGATGTTGAACTAATATATATATTCATATAAATTTGGTAGTCTAAAGGCTCAGGACGCTCGCACGGAATGCAAGAGATCCAAGTTCGACTCCCGGCCGAGGCAATATTTTTCGCAATAAGTTTATTACAGTTTTTTAAGATTAATTTGGGAAATTTGGGAAGATTATTAATATTTCAAATTGATTGAGTTGAAGGTCCGACAACCATATCGGCATGTAATTATCATTTCTGAAATTAAATATATATTCATAGCCGAATTTATTATATTTTTTTTATATATTCCTTATTGTTTTAAACGCAATTTTGATACTATTTTTATGATGAACAAAATTGACAATTCTATCAGTGTGGACAATTCTATCAATTATTTTTTTTTATATTATTTATAATATACCTAGATCATGGCAAATCATAAAAAAACATGTAATTTACAAAAACTAATCTATCTTTTTACAGAAATCGATAAAATGTTATTAATTTTAAGCTTGATTGAAAATCAAGGTTTTAAATGTTATATGACATAAATTTTTTATTTGTATGAAAATCGAATAAATAATAAATTAGTCAAATGTTTTATATAAGAGCAAGTATAAACATCAGTATTGTAAGACTTATGTAATTCTGTTAAGCTGAGAGCGCGTCAAGTAGCTTGCTACTTGATACTCGAGATCTATAGATCCAAGTCAATTTCACTTACGCCCACATGATTTTTCGCGTTTAAGGAGCCGAAAATAGCTCCAATTGGTGATTAAAACATCTTCGATCACCAGCGCCATTCGGCGTTAACTCCGATTTGGATCGTAGTGCCATTGGATGGATGAATGGATAAAATAATATTAAATTAATAGAATTATTTCAACTAAACTTATTTGAATATTTAGTACTTTTTGTGTGTTAATTTGTAGATTAATACACTCAATAAAAAAAAAGTGATACAGCAGAAAAGTTTACGAAATTTCAAATGCTCGTAACTCGGTAAGTAATTATGATACAGAGGTATTCAAAAAACGAAAATAAAGCTTGAAGCCTGTACTTTGAGAAACTTCTAATGCCGATTGAGTGGTATCAATAATTTTCCAATGGCCGATGATACAGTGAAGGCCTGTAAAAATGACAAGTAGAACTTCCTGTTTCCAGAGTTGCATGGAGTAAAATAATTGACAGAGTTTAAGATATTTTTCCGGCTACAACTTTTCGCCAAATTATGACAATTTGAAAAAAAAAAAAAAGTTTTTAATATGAAATAATGATGAATTGTAATGTCGCCATTATCAACTCAAACTATTGAGCAAAAGAGCATTTTGAAGAGAAAATTTTGAAATTTCATGTCTTTTTTAGCTGCGTCAATTGTTTTACTCCGTGCAACTCCAGAAATAGGAGGTCTACTTGATAATTTTGCAGGTCTTCACTTTATCATCGACCTTTGAAAAATTGTTAATGCCACTCAATCGGCATTAGAAATTTCTCAAAATAGACTTCAAGCTTAATTTTCATTTTTTTGAACACCTCTGTATCATAATTATTTGAAGTTTCATAAATTTTTCCAACTTTTCTGCTGTACTGCTTTTTCTTTGACTGAGTGTAATTTATATAATTTTGTATTAGAGGAAGTACGTCCAATATCGGACATTGTCTTGTACCAAACGATGTCAATATCTTTTGTCTTTGTGAAATATAAGTCTCGGTTCACAACTTTGCTTTAAAAGACCTTAAGCCGAAAGAGGTTAAGCCCGGATCTACAATAGGTGTTTTAAGCCTTAAACCGTAAGAAATTGACCGATTAAAATCGAATGTGAGGAGAATAATTAATTATGATTCATGTATTTCTTATAGCTTAAAGATTAAAAATCTATTATAGATCCGAGCTAAAGGTGTTTACAATAAGATTTTAAGATGTAAAACTTAAATTTTAAGCCTCAAGCTATAAAAATTGATTAATCATAGCCAATTTTTCTCTTCACATTCGATTGTAATTAGTCAATTTTTTTACTCAGACCAATATACTAACAATAAGTTGGTATAACATGCTTCAAAATAATTAATTATAATACCTGTATCAAGTGCACGATGTAAACTAGGCCATTACTGATTCTCATTTTCGATTCTTTCCAATTTTGAGAAAACCTTAGGTCCGATACTGGGCGCACTTCCTCTCTATGTATGTTTCGAAAAAAGCGATTATCAAGTTGGCAGGATCACTTTAAAATAAAAAAAAAAGAAAATTAAGATCAGAAATTAATAAAATTGAATTAATACAAAATTACCTTTAATAGTACAAATTAGTACAAAATGTATTCATAAATATATAATAACACAAAAAAGTAAAATATTCAAACAAGTTTGAGTTAATTTTACTGATAAATAGAATTATTAGCTTAAGAGAGGTTATCATGTAGGAAGGTTTGGTGTATTTTATTCGAAAAATACTATGTAAAAATTAAACCTTTATAACATAAGTACATGATAAATAATGAAGGTACACAATATTATATGTGCATAAAACTGCAGACTGATCAATATCACTTGGCATATCTAATAATACAGTGTCTTACAAAAAAAACATCTTTTTTTTCCCCAGAAACGACAGTATGTAATCAATATTTAGCGAATAGTGTAACGTTGGCGTATACATTAGCCATATCATTTGGAGGTGCCTTAAGGCTGAACATACTCTTTTGCAATAGATCTATATATAATTATAGATGATTTTCGTAGATTTTTTCATGCCGAATTTGAACCCACAGCCCATATTTCTCCATCACGTTTACGAGAAATTTAAATCTAAAGATGCCCAAAATAGGCCTTTTTAGCACTTTTAACTTAAAATATCTCGGAAACCTGACGTGATGGAGCAATTTGGGCTACGGATTTGGTTTTAGTATGCCAAAAACTTTCGGGATTATATACTGTCGTTTCTGGCTTAAAATTCATGTCTGCTTGTGTAATTATTATAATAGAAGTGTCACATTCTATATATTATCTTATTACATGCATGTTATTAGTTTCTTTTTTATTCTTACCGGAGTTTTATGAGTCGGGAGTCGGTTATCGAAAGTAAATAGTTTTTACCAATTTCAATCTTATCAATGAATTATTGATTACGTTTATATGACACATTTTTAATCAGGTTTAATAACATCCGCAATTATGAAACTGGCCAATCACAGTCATTCCATTCTTCACAGGATTGACAGCTATGATTACTCAGTTTTATAAACTACAGATGTTATTAAACCCGATTAAGAATGTCGTGTAAACATAGTTATTGAGTATATCATATATCTTAATTATTTTAAGCGTTTTTATCAAGCGATGGTACCACTTCGCTGATCCACTTCAGGTAATCGCTGTTTCCATTTTGTATCTAAAATATAAATGTTTAAGTAGTTTGTGTTTTTAATCATACAGTTTATGTGCCTTGTATTCATCCAATTATATTATTCATTATATCAAACTATTGTTGTTTTGTCTCCATTTTTTGTTTTTCCTCCTCGATTGTATAAAAGTATTATGAAGCTATTCCAGCAGAGTAAGATACGCAAATTAACTTACGGGCAAAGAGATTACTTCGCAAACTGTATACGGATGATTTTCTCTAAAAAAAATCAAGTTATAAACATTGACATATTTTTAAAATAGATATATTAGTCATGTTTAACTCACTTGACATATTTTGTTAGAGTATCTACTTTCTCCGTCCTAGTTTTTATCATCTATAGTTTATGTGTAGACAGATAGTCAGTAATAATTTTATATTTGCATGACTGAATGTATACAAAGTTTGATAAATCTTTCTTACCAGCAAAAGTTCAGATTCTTCTTGTATCTTTCCTTCCCATTCGTATCTGTGAAGACAATACTTATTCTTTAATCAAGTCTTTGACAGATTGAAAGTTTTCCCTAAGATTATTGGGGAAACAATTTTTTGGTTTGTCTAAACTAGGATTGTGCTGTATATTTCAAAATTATATTTAAATCAAATTTTTAAAGTTTATGCAAGTCTTTCATGTGCATAATACACAAGTAATGTAAAACATAAATTATTACATAAATTGGATAACAATACAGAAAGAAATAATTAAGTTGTATGATTGTTAATATATCTAATTTTAGTATTGATGAAATAAAAATATATAAGCAAGATGGAAGCTTTTAGTACAATCTATAATGCAACAACAAAGAATGTAGACTTTGATGATTTATAGATTGTTTTTATAAATGCCATAAAACATTAAAGTAAGAGTTTAAAGCTTTTATAACAGTCGAAGCTGGATCTTTAATGCTTAAATAATTCAACCAAGATAGCCAAATGCAGTGTATTTGTTGACATGTTGCAACAACCAATTTCGACAAACTCAAGACAAGGTAAGACAGCATTATGTCTGTTCACGTTGAATTCAATGGAATTCGAATGCTTGCGATGGCAAATTGATGTCAAGCAATATGTCAGCATGAATATCCTCGACAACAACTCATGTTGTCATATTGTCAGTATTTTGTTCACAACGAGCTCAAGATGAAACGATTAATTATTCGTTGCTAACATGTTGCCCACAACATAATAATGTACTACTATTGCTCACAGTTTACTCTAGAAATTTCGATAATTGATTACATATATAAGCAGTCATGTTGTATTTATAATGTATCTTATTTTGATGTCAACAAATGTACAACAAATGTATAACAACATATGCAATGCATTAATTTGCTCAATATACTGTACATGTTTGGCTATCTGGGAATGTGAATTTTGTGTGTGTGTATGTGTGTGTGTGTGTGTGTGTGTGTGTGTGTGTGTGTGTGTGCGTGCGTGCGTGTGCGTGTGTATGTACACAGGATGTCCTGAAAGTTTTTGACAATCGCTTTTGTGTAGATAGAGCGGAACTAAATTGAGTCGAAAAGTCTTCTATCATTTTGCAATTTTCACAATAGTTAACAAGATATTAATTATTAAAAATTGCTAAATATTGGTATTGCTAAATATTGGTCTAAATCATAGTCGTCAACTTTAACTTAAAATATCTTGATTCGCAGAGCAGAGCGACACTTTTCTTATAGATTCTTCATTTTCAGAAAAGAAAACGCATCGAATATATTTTTATCAAAATTTGAGTGGACCGGGATTTTTTTAACATTTATCCAAATGTTTACCGAAACGCTCATGATTCAAGGTTGAGTTTTGGCTCGATAATATAGACGCACCCTAAACACGTGGTATATTTCAATACACGTGCAACCATATATCGAGATACGCGGATATACATATTCTTCAAATTATGTATTTATTTACACATGAAAAAGAGATCACTATTTTAAACACAATTCTGGTTCAAATATACAAACTGAACAATAAATACAAGAAAAACTTACATGGACGTGAGTCGCGGGATGATATTAACGCAGGCAGCGAGCTTGTTTTCGACTAGACCTCTTTATGAAAGAAAAAGAGAACGCGTTAAAGGAACACTTCTTATCGAGACATAAGAATAATTTTTATTATTTTCTAGTGTTACTCTTACCGTGCTAATCTTTTTGCAACTGCGTCGTCTGGCACGGTAACGTACGCCACAGAATGTACACCAGCGAGACTCGACATGTTTTGATAAATCTGGGAACGGATACTCCGTGCTATACAAAGCAGCATCAACAAAGTCACGAGAGAGGCTCGCGTCATTTACCAATTGTTTGTTACAGAAAGCCAGTAAGTAAACTATCACTGGGTTGATTTCAACTTCGATCGAACGCCGATCGATATATATATGTAGAGACCACGTGGGTTACGTGGATATAGGGAGGAATCAGTGTTGCCATAGTGGAAAAAATTGAAACTTCCATATCTTACAGAGTACAATTTTCGTCCTTGTTATTGCCTAATACATATTCTATTGGAAATTGAAATTGCTTCACATTTCAATTTGACTTGTACATTTCCAGAACTATAATATATACTAAAATTTCAGCCAATTTCACTGAAGACCAAAATCCTATGACTTTGTACGAGGTCCTTTATATTTATTTACATTATACAGTGTAAACTACAAGATTCCATTATTAGTACCTCGCACATTAAATTCAATTTCAGTAAAATTATTAAATATTAACTGCGAATGCTTTGATGTTTGACGTCATGTAAAGACATCTTAATGTCGATACCGTGGCTGCGTCTACGCATGATGCGCATGATCAGAGAGATTTACTCTGGCAGATGCATCATTTATCCTTGTTTAACATTCGGTGAATAACAAGGATAAATATTGTATCATGCGCATCATGCGTGAAATCACGTGAAACGGAAAGCAGCCCGCGTGTTGTCAACAGTTTGAAGTTGGGAGACTTTTGTTATATATGGGTATATTATATTGACTGTATTGACCTTCGCTGAAAGGTAGGCTGGTATAACTAAATAGTTATATTATTAGGTATAACTAAAAGAAGAAATGCGTATATGAAATGTCTCGTGATTCTTCAATTCTAAGTCGTGTATAATTTTCTTAGAATATATTCCATTACGCTCCGTGTGGTGAAATTGTATGAACGGAAAGTACGATTTTTTGATAATCTTGTAAAAATAGACTTTGACTATCCAATAATAGCAAAATTTGTGCAATGTGGATGTGGTTTATTTTTATTGGAAGTTTATTTTCTTATTTGATGAAAAGGGCATCCTATTGACTGAATCTCTCCATTTGAGATTTACTTAGAAATATTGAAAGTTGCACATCAGCCAGGCAAGGCGTTATGAATATGTTTTACACAAATATTTGATATTGGAATAACAAAATGTGCAAATGTCTTTTTTTTTTTAAGACTCCACTGATTGGTTAATATTTAGAAGCTTTCAACTTGTTCTACGAATTACAGCATATATTCTTGATCTTGTTTTCTGATATTATTTTTAATAATTGTATGTGTTTATCTTAAATTGAACTTTCAAGTTTGACTTTTATGTATTGAATAAACAGATGTGTGTTTGTGTATATATTGCCTTGATATTTAATAACTCAAAAATAATTTAAGACACACATAAGACTTAATTGTTTTAAATCAAACAAATTAAGCTTACTACATAATATTAAAATAATGAATTGTGTATGAATCTAAAAAAATATTGTTAAATATGTAATAACAGTGTGATTGGTGTGATATAATGCCTCTATGCTGTGTTTTCAATATATTTAATGTATATTTAATATAACATTGTTATTGCAGATGTGTGATAATAATATTAGTGTTGCTCTACGTATCCGTCCATTAGTAGACAATGAGCTTGAAAAAGGTTGCCAAACATGTTTAGATGTTACACTTGGAGAACCGCAAATCTGTATACGCAATACTGACAAAGCGTTTACGTACAATTATGTGTTTCCTCCTCACATTGGACAGGAAGATTTTTATAACACAGCGATTAAACAACTTGTAGATAATATCTTTCAAGGTAAATATTTCATATAAATATTTTTTCAAATCTTTATATTTTTTAGATACAATGTTGTGTTTGTATTACATTAAAGATAAATAATTTTTTGTAGGCTATAATGTTACAATATTAGCATATGGACAGACTGGAAGTGGCAAAACCCATTCTATGGGTACCAATTATACAGGTGTGGAAGAGAAGGGTATTATACCAAGAGCTATATATGATATATTTGAAATAATTCAATCCAAGGAAGATTGGAGTTTCAAAGTAGCAGTCTCATTCATGGAATTGTATCAAGAACAATTGTATGATCTTTTGTCTGATAAGCAAAAAAGCCAATCCATTGTAGATATTAGAGAGGACAGTAAAAATATAAAAATTGTCGGTATAACCGAGAAACCAGTTGAAGATGCGCGAGAAACGTTAAAATGTTTGACCCAAGGTTCCCTGGGTCGCATAACAGGTGCAACCGCAATGAATGCACATAGCAGTCGTAGTCATGCTATATTTACATTATGTATACATCAGCAAAAGAAAGATGATCCGTGAGTAATTATTGCTTTTTTATTCTATACTACTGTTTTTTATTCTGTCATTCTAGCCTGCGATACTAAACGTATGAGAATGGAAATAATTCGACTTTTCAAACAGGAATACAGCGACAGTGGCGAAATTTCATTTGGTTGATTTAGCGGGTTCCGAACGTAGTAAAAAAACTCAAACAACTGGGGAACGATTTAAAGAAGGTGTGAATATAAACAAGGGATTGTTGGCTTTGGGCAATGTTATTTCACAACTTGGTGATGGTGCCTCTGGAACATATATCGGATACAGAGATAGTAAACTTACAAGATTGTTGCAAGATTCCTTGGGTGGTAATTCCATGACTCTTATGGTTGCCTGTGTCAGTCCTGCTGGTTGGTATTCGGATACTCTTATTCTCTTCTACGCCTTCGTCTGTCCAACTAACTGCCTACTTGTATTCTAACATATTTCAATATCTATCAAGTTATGAAAATTCTGTTTGCAGATTATAACTTGGATGAAACTCTTAGTACATTGAGATATGCGGATCGCGCACGTAAGATAAAGAATAAGCCAATTGTGAACCAAGATCCGAAAGTAGCAGAGATCAATCGGTTGAACAAATTAGTTCAAGAACTGCGGCTGGCGCTTGCGAATCAGGAATTTGGCTTAACATGTCCGAAGGAACACGAGGCACTCGAGGAGAGATATAGTGTATTACAACAAAAGTTTAGAGATATGACGGAAAAGTTGAATTCGAATTTAAGAGAAATCGTAATTATGCATGAACGAGCGGAAATGGCCGAACAGGCTCGGGAAAAAATCAGATTTACTATATCGTTATTACTTGATGAATTCAAGCAAATTTTACAAGATTTTGATTCTTGTCTCGAAATCGACGATGAAAAGCGAAATAAATTAAAAGCGATATATGAAAAGATGTTAGGTGAGTTTTTCTGTGTGTCAACATCGCATTAATTATTTGTTTATAAACTACAAACTTTGATGAGTCTTTAATTTGATGTTATTTTATGCGCATAGATCTCCAAAATAACGAGAAGAAAGCATCCGAAGAACTTATAAATCATAAAATATCCAATTCTAAACATTGTTGTGTCATGCACATGGAAGAAGATATAGAATGTGTACGTACAGAGGAATTGAACGACATCGAGGATAATTTGGATTATTTTGATAGAAAGGAAGAGGAACACACACTACGGCAAGCGGAGCGAAATAACGAAGTCCAAATTATTAATAAGGAATTGGCACTCAAAGAAAGCCTCGTGTCGGAACTGTTGAAAAATGTAACGCAAGAAACCGCTGAAAGTCGTAGGAATGTCATGGAGATGGAACAAGAAATCAAACGGCTACATGTGGAAAAAGAGGAGAATTTACAAACGGTTCATACAACGGCTCACAATATCAGTTCTAAGTAAGTTATTTTAAAGCGTTTTTGTCGCCTAGCTTCTCTATTTGTCTTTTTAGTAAGTTTAGTTTTTACTAAACTTTTTTGTTAACTATTACGAAAAATGGTAGAGGACTTTTCGATTCACTTTAATCCGCTCTATTTGCACACGAAATATTTGATGATCATTCTGAGACATCCTATATATAACGATATTGCCGTTAAGAGTTGTAAAAAATATAGGTACTAATCGATAAGTGTACTATTAAGTCTTTAGCCTTTTGTTCTGAGTTTTAAATTGTGACGCGACTTTTTTCTAGATATTTCTAAGAAGTCTTTTACCTTAAGACGTAAACTTTAAGTAAGCTAATCAGATCTCAACTATAAAGTTTATAGCTTAGGACTTAACGTCTCATAGTTTAGAGCTTAAAAAAAAGACTTATTATATATACATCTATTATAGACAGGATCTAATACTTTATTTAAATGTTTTTTGTGCACAGATTGGCTGAGACGCGTCGTAAAAGAGTGCAAGAACTGGAAAAAAAGATAGCGGAATTGACACGTAGATGCATGGAACAGAACAAGATAATCAAAGCGAAAGAGAAGCAAGATCAAAGAATTAAAATTCTCTCCAGTGAGATACAATCGTTAAAAGAGACTCGAGTTAAGCTTATCAGACAGATGCGCAACGATGTAAATAATTTTACAAAGTGGAAACAATCCAAGGAAAAGGAAATTATTAAATTAAGAATGCAGGATCGTAAACGTGCTTACGAAATGGTACGCATGAAAATACAACATAATAAACAGGAGAATGTTTTTAAAAGGAAAATGGAGGAAGCTTTTGCAATTAACAAAAGATTAAAGGTACGTTTCTTTGACGACAATAGGTGCGTTAAGTTTTCATTGCAAGCATTATTTCATTCTTATTGTTTATTAAATGTTAAATAAGGACAAATAATGCTTACAAGCGCTGTAGATTCTGCAAAATGGAACGCACTTATGATCTATTCTTTCTAGTGATAGGCTTATTATATGTTGGCATTTCATAACGATATTTCTGCTATGCAAGATATTAAGCTGAGTGATTTATGTATGGCAGGGTGCTTTGGAGATGCAGAAAAAGGCGATGCAACGACAAGAAAAGAAGGCCAATAGCAAAGAAGAGATAAAAACTTGGATCGCTCAAGAAATGGAAGTATTAATGGCTACCGTAGAAGCAGATTATTCTCTTGAAAAATTGATGCAAGATAGAGCTTCGTTGGTATATCAATTGCAGCAACTTAAAAAAAATAACGAGCCGGATGAAAAGGAGCTTGCAACTGTTACTGAATTCATAGAATTGCGTAACATACAAATTGCAGATCTGCAACAAAAGCTTCTTGAGTCAGATCAGGGTAGGATTTCTGTTAAGT